GGTGGATGGATTGATTGGTGGATCCATAAATAAACACAGTAGATAGATAGATAGATAGGTAGGTAGATAGATAGATAGGTAGATAGGGATACAGCGGGAGGGGCAGATAGAGAGAGTGCCACCGCCAGTGATTGGGAGAGTGCCTCCACCACCTTTTGGACTGGCTGAATGGCCACCGGATCCACAATGGATCCACGCTACTCAACCAGCAGAAGCGTCAGACCAGATACACTCCGACTCATTAACGTTGACATGGAAGTGGAAAACCCCCTGTTTGTCAAAGGAAAGTCGTCTTCCTTTCGGGACCATGCCATCCACGTAACCATGTGATGAGTTTCGTCAAGAGTGGGGCTAACCTCCGAAGAATCCGGCGGATTGCTGCAAGGGTGGGATAACACGAACGAAGTGATGACTCAGGTTCTGCATGGCAAGAACGACCCGGCTCCGGGGAGGCGCTTCCCCGGACGGGCAAGCACCGGGTGTTTGGGCGCACGCGCACCAGGTTTTGGGCACAGCAAGGAGGGGATATAAGACCTAGGCCCCTTCATGATGTGCACCTAGGTTTTCCATGGGTTTCCAATTGAAAACAATCTAACTATAATCTATAATGTTATGCTAATGTTATGCTCCTTTTACCGTTTGTAAACGGTCCGAAGTCCAATTCAAGGTCCCCCGTGTCGGTTTTTTTTCGCCGCAACTTGTGCAAATGGCACAGTTGCCTCTAAAGGGCCGCTCTTTTGATGAGCAAAACGCGATAAAACAACACATTTGGGGGCGATCTCACTCCAGTTCGCATGTCTACACACTCGATTTTTGAGTGGACGTCTACGCTGCACCGGGACATGGCAGCAGAGGGCCGGACCCGCAGACCTCACTGCCATTGGGTTTTGCAAGACAGGGATTTTCTGGTGCCTGGCGTCAGCCGGAGAGGTCAGCTGAATTGATCAATCGCCCAGTAGTTGGTTGGGAGGTTCTTCCTGAGCCAGGCAGGTAGCAAGCCTGCAGGAAGCACGCCTGGAAGTTCCAAGTGCCCAATGAAGCACCTCCCGAGTCTCAGCCTTCCAGGCCCAGGAGATATTTGGCATTTCAGGTGATCGGGTCTGTTTCCTTGAGATCTGTTGCTCTATTTCTAGGCAATTGTTCAACAAAGCTGATCACATCTGATCAGCATCTCTCGGCCATGTGCAAAATTCTTTGACACAACCCACACCGAGATTTAAGCAAACCTATCAAGGCGTACCAGCCGCGCCGGTCCCTGCGCTCGCGCCGAAAAGCGGCCATTCCCACTGTGCAACAAAAGTGGCGTCAGGGAACGGACATGTTACATCCGACAAAAATGCCGAAACACAGCATGTTAAATCGGTTGATTCGCGTACTGTTCACCACTGTTGGTAGGATTGCTTACATTTGCTTACGGTCGCTTACGGCTACTGATGTTTGTGGTTCAATCCCCTTGGTAATTTGGGCCAGTTTTGAATTCGACGGTGGAGGCCGCTGGCGTCTCCGACTGCTATCAAGGTGCCAGAGACCTGTGACAAGACCTGTGACGCAGGAGGCGGTTGATGTGGGTAAGCAAACATGAGCCAACTGGTGCTTCAGGCCTAAATTGCTGCAGGTTGAAATGGTGCTGCCAAACACTATACTTGAATCATATCATGTTGAACTAAACAAAATCCCCAAACGTGTGGAGAGAGATCTCTTCCAGAAAGGCATTAAGGCAGATAACTTTGGACGATGGATGGGCCACGGTGGCCGGAATTCAATTCATCCCACCCTACCTGGGAACAGCCTGCAACCCTGCGGTAGCATTGATATTGACGGAGCGGATCTCAGGTGTCCAATCTGTTTTGGTGATTTTGTTTAGTGTCTTCCATCAGCAGTGTCAGCATGTCTCAAACCAGGAGGTGCTAATTAAAGGAGGTAGATCACACCCCTTTGGCTGGCACCCTTCACATCCTCTATTTTGAACAGTACTATTCTCTGGAAAAATCAGCACCGACAAGCCTTTTTTCGCGGTCGAAGCTGTAGAGATCCCGAATTTTTTTTCCAACCGCCGTTGATTTGCCTATCATCTTGTTTATCTATTGTGGGATCTTCACTGCCTATGAAAGGCCGTGACGGACAGGGACCGCAAGTCGCGCTATCTATGTGGGATCACGTTTGTTTTAAGTGCATGCTTTTTCAGATACATTTGGTCCCTCGTGTGCGTGGGTTTTTCTTCATCCCCAGCAAGAAGGGTCCAATCCAAACGGCCCTTTGGGCGAGTGACGTTCCTGAAGCAAGCTCTGACTGCGATCAGACTCCCATTCATTCATTCGAAGGCTTCCGCAAGAGCCTGCCCGGCAAGTCGTCCGAGGCGTTGGGGGCGACTGCTTTGGGCCCGAGGGGCCTGAGAAGCTCCTGGATGCGGGGCGCTTTCAACATGGCGCCTACCGAGCCACTCGGATGACGGTGGCAGCAACGGAACGGCCGGTGGCAGAAGTCTTCTGAGGCCACCGGTGGCATGTCAGTATGTTTGTGTGGGATGTCTGAGGCATATATATATATATATGGTCAGTATATATGGTAAGTTGAGGTGTATAAGGAGGTTTGCCGATGCCCTTGAACCAATGTCACAGATGCGGCAGATCAACAGAGTCAGCGTTGCTCAGCGCACATTCTGGTTCATGTTGGATCGGTTTGGTTTAGTGTCGCCACATGTAATTATCCACATGCATATGTGACTTCAAAAGGAGGTTTATGCTTTTTCAAAACATGTTGTTCCCCAAAGAGGGCTGGTCACCTTTCATGCTTGTGCATTTGCATCGGGACTTGACTTCTTTCTGATCCCCAAGTTGATCACAAGCAACATAGCAACCCACGGGCACTAGAAGCTAGCATGGGTGGATGCACTGCGCAGCAAATTCAATAGTAGTTGCTCACGCAGTTTATGTTCCGCTGAGACATACTAAGACCATGTTTTGGAGGGATTATGTTTCCCGTATACGACGTAGGCCAGTGCATAGAACGCGACATTCATCCAGCAGACCATAGCTGTAATGAAGAACTCAGAACGACTGTGAATTTTGGCACTCCTTTGAGCATATCCCATTGCCAGAATCAGCTACGATTCCCGGACCCAGTTTCCACAGTCTGCTGGACTGACCAGGTGTTGGCCAGCTTGCAGCAAGTGCAACTCATGGGCGGCTCGGCCTTTTGTTCTTCAACTCGCGGACCATCTTTTCCCTTGACTCCTCCGCAAAGAAGAAAGACGGTGTACACTTGAATGTTGACACAGTCATTGACAAGTTATATAGACCCACTACCAAGTTGCTACACCGATGACCTTGGCGGTCGCATGATTTCAGCAATTAGTTGCTGGGCATCACGCGTTCTCAGTGACGGGTACTGAGGCGGTCATTTTCCAGGCCGAACATTGGATCTAATGCCCAAGAGGGTGGACTTCACCTAGTCCCTCCCTCACCTAGTCCCTCAGCTTTTCACAGAATCAACCTCTATGACACAACTCCTTGAGAAGATGGAAGACTTGGTCATGTAACTGCGATGGTCAGGCTGGTGGCCATGGGTGGCCTTTTTCAGGGGGTTGCACCATGGACAGCGACGCTGGAGGAATTGATAGTGAAGATGATATGCGTATGAACATGTATGAACCCATATGACCCCCCCAGATCCCAATCTGCAAGCTGCAGATGCATCTTTGGCTGGCAATTTGCAGATCCGGCGTTACCATGGTTCAACACATGTGTGGATTCGGGTGGCATGTTCTTCTGAACCGTTTCACGCAAGGGCTGACGGTGAAGATATATATATATATATATAGGTGCGAATCTTCCTCAAGACACCCAAGACTTCCTTCCATCAACCCCTCATCAGAGGTCAATCCCTCAGCTGAGTACGATGACTTTAAAACTTTAAAGGGACACTTGCCCAATGGATACGTCTCATCCTCCGTCCCTCCGAGATCCGAAAGGTCTCAGCCTGGCTTTTCGCTCCAGTGACCTGAAGAAGGCCCGATGGGTGCTACGTAGGCATGGGCGATCCATGTCGAGCAGAACGAGAACGACATAGAAAGAATCATGAGACCTCCCACCAACATCACCAACATGGGCCAAGTACCTTTCAGTTGTGGCTTGTCCATGCTCTTCCTGTTTCTAGCGGGTGTTTGGGGGCCGTCTCCTCTCTGTGTGAAGACGTTTGAGTTGTGGAAAACGACTCGAAATGGTCGCGTATCCCTGCACGGGCTGAAGCCTTCAGCCTAGAATCACCAAGCTTCAATATGGCTCATCCAACTCAATGAAGGTGACTGAACTTCATTAAGCCGCTATAGAAACCATCTAGGACCATCTAGGACCTAGCCTCATTGAGCATCACAGCATTTGGGTCCAAATCCAACCATTGCCAGCCATGGACTCTGCGACACGGACCCTTATGTCACAGAAGGCTAAGTAGAACTTGGTGCGACCTCTCCTAAGAATACCATAGGTGCCACAAGGAACACTCACCACCAGACAGTCAGAAGAGGAGGAAACAATCAAATCAGAAGAAGAGGATGAAGCAAGTATAACGACAATATAACAACAGAGACTTGAGCAGCAACGATGCCAAAAAGACGCACTAGCTCACTAGCCCCCTAGATCCATTCTGCATCCCCAAGTATCTACATTTGATTGGTTAGATGGCAAAAAGTACGTCGTTTGTGGCGAAAAGCCTATGGAGCCCGGGAGTTCTCAGCGATGCCCATGCCAACCCCTGGGCCCCGGCCACTGGTCCAGCGATGCCCGAAAGCCTCTTCTGCTCTTCTGACAGCCAGTATGGGATGTCTTCCTTCCACATCAAACGCGAATGGATTCATCGGGATATAGCACCAGCCTGGGGTGGCGGAGAGTCAAACAAGAATCAAGCTGTTCGATTGATTGAAGCGAACAACCTTCGAACAACCAGGATCAACTGCTTGTTTTCCCCATCCGACATATAAACTCATCGACACCATCAATAACACCCTTCGGCATCACTCTCCCAGATGATTTGTTGGGAATGACGGTGCTGGGGTGAACTTGGCAATTTTTCAAGTACGATAAATCATGATAAATCACTTGAACATGGTCCGGACAACTTGCTTCAAGTTGCGAATGATGTTTGACTTGCCACCAGAATGAGCATGCAACTTCTGTAGTCGCCACACAACTCAAAGCAATCTTCCACCACAAGCCCAGGGAGAAACGTTTGCACTGAGTATCGTGTTCAAAGGGCCACTTAGTGTGGCTGAGACTGGTTGTTGACAACTTTAACTTCCAGGGATGAGGACAAACTATAGACTCTAAGATGTCCATGCCCAATCTGGAATATCGCGCACCCATTCCCTTGAAAAGTTGACCGGTTTCCCTTTGTTGGACGATGTTACCGTTACCTGTTCTTTCCAGGAAGGAAACTCAACAGAACTCACCACCGAAGGAGGTGCGGAAGGACTGTCGACTCAAACTAATTGAAAAGAACGAAAGCTGGACGGCTGCATGCGAAGAGACGCAAACTGTTTAGCGTCCCAATCCACAAGAAGATTGTTGGACATCTCGCGGACTATGGAGCCATGTCCGCAATTTCATGTGTACTTCAGCGATAGGTGCTCCAGCAAATAACTTGAAACTCATTGTAGAAGTGTTGTTGACAAGTCGGCATATGTTGAGCCAAACATCAAAAGTTTCATGCCACCATGATTGATGAAACCAGGAGGGATGAACCCACGACCTTTGATCAACTCAGGAAACTAACTGACAATTTCATGTCGTCCTTCAAGTTTCAAGAGTGGACTCGTCGCAAACGACTATAGACCTTCTCGACCAGCAGGGGTGACCTGTTTACCCACACAGGACACGTCCCAACCAAGCAATCGACATGTTTTTGTTTCATGGTTTTGTTTCCCTTATTCTCCTTAAGTATCCTTGTTTCACCACTTGTCAGTCTCACCGAGCGTTTCCACTCGGAACTCACGGAGCTTTGCGAGGCGCCCCGGCGCTGCAAGCTGCTGTGCCTGTCGTTGTTGCCCTGCCAGGCCGTTCGACCCGAACTCGACGGGGGAACATCGGCGAGAGGTCAACAAGATTCAACAAGCCCAAATGGACAACATATATATATATATATACAATATATATTGTATATATATATATTGTAGATTGGGTCTGTTTGTTCTTATCTGTAACAGTCAGTAAACAATTATCACTACTTTTGGACAAGGCCTCTACTAACCATCATCCACTGTTACAGGTAATAGGATAGACTCGGATAGACCCAATATATGGATCGTCGATGGTCCAGGTATGGGCCATCTTGAAAACCAACTTTTTGCGCCGTATGTGTTCAATCTGTTTTCATGTTTGACATATATATAAGTTTTGGTGCGGTTTGACCACATACTAGTAGGTTTCTTTGTCCACGTTGTCCATGTGTTTTTGAAGGAGTCCATGCTGTTTTTGCACTGGGCATATGTTAGTCAATGCGTTGTCTACTTTTGCGGAGGGGTGTGATGTTCAATTGGTGCATTTGGGCATCCTGGATGGAGTCCTCGCAGAGAAGACAGTCGTTGTGACAAACCAAGAATGACAGCAACAACATGATAATTCTATTCAGTTAATGCTGCCATCACCCTTTATCAAAAGGGCATGCCCACAGCGAAACACCATGACAAGTGTGTTTGCTGGTCCAATTGACACCTTTTCTGCGGGATTTCCTCCAGACTATGCTTTGCTGAGGCTTGGCAATACTCTGATGGCTTTGGGTGCTACGTGGAGAACCCCTATTTGGGTCCCTTGCCTTACCCTCCGGTTGTCCAACGAAGCACAGCCTTTGCCCAGAAGGCCCAGGGCGAGTATTTGCAGCGCCTTTGCCCCAATTCGGTGAGCCGTGTGCGAGGGGACGCCAAGGATGAAGAGGTGCAGCAGCAAGAGGCCTTGGTCGTATCCTACGCAGCGAAGGCGACTTTGCCCAAAAAGGTCGAGGCCGATAGTGTGGACGTGCCGAAAGCTCCCCCTATCGCGCAAGCAGCGGTGAGCACAACTGAACTGATGGAGCCTCCCTTGTCTCCGTCAACTGATGCCATTCTACCCCCACTAGCTCCTGCTGGAGCACCGTTACCGACAGTAGCTCCCACGCCAGCCCTACCAGCTGCAATCCCCACTGCAGCCTTGCCGACTGCAGCACCTGCCGCAGCCCTACCAGCTACAGTCCCCACCGCGGCCTTGCCGACTGCAGCACCTGCCGCAGCCTTGCCGACTGCAGTACCTGCCGCAGTTTTGCCAACCGTAGCACCTGCAGCCTTGCCGACTGCTGCTCCCACTGCAATTTGGCCTGCAACCCTCCCTCCCTCCCAACCCCTTCCAGCCACACCAGCTTTGCCAACAGCTGGGACCTCCAAGGCTGGGCTGCCGGGGGTTCCTCCCACACCCACTCTTCCAACCATCCCACCTCCTGAACTACCACGTGTCAGCACCGGCGCCGAGTTCCGCAAGTCCGACATCACAGCGGCTGGCCATGTCGAGCGCAGTCCAGTGAGCCCGTTGCCCAAGGCCGCCCGCCAGCGGCACGAGCGGCGCGAGCGCGAGTTGCAGAGTTCTGCTGGGGTGAGCTTTATGGGAAGGTCAGCAGTGACCCCACATGTTTGAGTCTTGTTGTTGCGAATGTAAGTGAGTCAGGAGATTCCCTCCAAAGCTTATGGCTTATGGATACTTATGGAGTGGGCTCCTGAATCAACAACTTCAGCATTATATTATATTTGAGTTATAAATTGATTGAATTATGTTGAAATTGTATTCCTACTTTAAAGTAGGCGCTAAGTAGGCGCAAAAGAAATCGTTGTAGGCACTTTGCATTTGAGCCATGATATTGTGTGCAATTGCTCTGGAAGAGCAAGATAGCGTAAGGGGGCTTCGAAGATTTGTCTCTTATGGCGTATATGCGCACGTTCCATTACCTTAAAGAATCCCTGGAGGAACCGGCACTGAGAGGAGAAAGCAAAGCACTTGAGAGGAAAATTCCAACAACATCCTTGGGTCCAAAGAATTTGCTCAGGTGAAGAAGTCCTTCTCGGACTGGTTGGCCATTTCCTTAGGTGTAGTGGGCTTAGTCCTGGTGTGCGCGGCAGCGCATTTGCTGCGCGTGCACAAGCTGCGCAAGAGAAGGAAGGGTGGTTCGGATGAGGCCACCGGCCTGCTCATGTGAGGAATGAACGAAGAAGACTGTCAAGAAGCACCACGAGCAATGTTGCTAGAACACACATAACGATCGGGGAAGACAGCCAACGTTTGGTTCAATCATTGCATTGCTGGTCTTGATAGGCCAGGGAAGTCCAAAACGCGGTGACCGCAAAAAAGAGAACGAATCAGCATAATCCTGAGAGTTTAAACAAGTCAACATGGTTGCTTCATCATTCTTCGCGTGGTCTTAACATTTCTTGGCGGTAGTTTGATCGTGCGTGTGGGGATTCTGTGGACTTTAGAGGTCTGCCGCTGATGTTCCAGGATCCCAGCGATGGGTGATTGTTTCAGTCCGCGAACCCATTAGAGAAGGAGGGCCATGGTGCAGCAAATAACAATCCTTTAACTTTCAACTCTCTAGTGATTAGCTTTAGATGATTTGCGAGGTTCACAGAGGTCATCTTCAAAGTCAGCGTTCATGTTTGTTTTTTCCTCTTGGAGCTGGGTCCAAGCCAGACTAACACCCTCGCGCTGGTGCCGTGCAAAAAAGGGGCCAGAATCGGGTGGAACTTGGACTTGACGCGAGAAGAGACTGCAGCTTGTAAAGCATCACAGTTTAACAACCCACTTCTGGATGATTTGAGTAGAGCAAGTGACTAGCTGGGAGCCAAATGTAAGACATGCATTCCTTGAGGCATGAGTGCAAGAAGCTAGGGAACTTGGAAGTCCACACATGCCAACTTAGCACCATCAAGGCCCAGACTTCACAGCCCCGCTCACTCCTATCAAATGAGATGTGTCCCGCTATGTAGACGTATGTGGACCATGGATTCAGCGCTGTTGGTTCAGTTCTGTTGAATTGGCTTCGACTCACGCGCGTGAAGCGACCTTAAGCGACCCCTTTCCGGTCGCGTGGAGGGTCCTATATGGGGCCAAGCAATCATCACTCACCTTTGGGATCTAGTTGCTTATGTTGATGTTCTTCAACGTCAAATATTATTGGGATTATTACCTTTCCACACCAACAGGCCATGCCCCATGCGCTCACACACACATGTCACCCCATGGCTGCTTGCCGCGCCTGCTTACGGGACCCACACGCCAGGTCCTTCCAAAAGGCAGTCCACATGGAGGCCAAACAGCTTTGGGTCGCAGCCTGAGCAGTCGCGACGGCTTTCTCGAAGCATCTTGGAGCCACCAGCTTGTGACCTCTCGCGGTCGTTTGGGGAGACACAAACAACACAACAAGTTACTTTGCGTTTGTTTGGCAAAGGGCTTGATGCATGACGACCGCCTTCCATCCATCGTATCGACTGGAGTGGCCAAGGATGCTGGAGCCTATACCGATGCCAGCAAGGGCAGCCCCATCGCTCCAGGCCTGGAGTGTGCTTCACCTGCTCCGTTCACGGTGGAAGATCGGAGAAGGTTTTGGACCGGTGGAGATGCCTTCGGATGTGCCCGGGATGGGATCAGTGGATATCAGTGGCAGTTGTGTGATGTTTGATCAATTCTGGATTCTGATAAGGTATTTTGATGGAATTTGATTTATCATGATTTATCGATCATGGTACGGGCTTCTGGGAGTCAAACAAGACGACATGCTGAAGCTTGGCTCCAGCAGAGAGAATATGTCCTTATATGTCCTCATGATTACATTTAATGGGACTCTCCGTCAATCCCATGTCAGTCTTTGTTTCTCGCACAGCTGGACCTGACCTTTTGCCGGCCAATCTCAAGTGGAACGCAAGGCAGTCAAGAGATCCAGTTCAGCGCCAGAGATGACAAGGCCCTGGGGACACTCTATGAGATCACGCGTCGAAAGCTTGAATGATAATTACACTTGGTCTTTCGAAGGTGCCAACGAGAAAATTCACAGTGAGTTAAGCTATAGCCGCTATGTATGTAAACCAACGCTCCAGCAGAGGGTGGCATAAAGACATGCTATCTCTGGTTATATGTTCCTCCCCTCAGGTTGGCCGCAGAAAGCCACATCACATCACAGTAATGTACCACGCTGCAGTCCCCGGAATGTTGATGTTGAGTTCCGCAAAATCCTTCTTCGCCTGCGCTTGTTTGGCTGCGCCTGCGCACTGAGGTCATTTGCTTGAGCAGCACTGTCTTGGAGGCCTTGGGCAAAAAGGCTCAAGCCCTGAAGGTGCGATGTCCCTGGGCTCCGCGGTCTTGACTGGCTGTTCTTTGAAACAAGGAAGATGACGGTGGTCTTGACTAGAACCCGGCTTTGCGGTCCAATTTGTTTCATTTGTGGCGTGGTGTTCTTCCCATGGAACATCCACCAAACATGTGCGCTTTTGGGAGGTGTTGGACAACCAGCTGGCAGATTTCGGCTGGGGGATCAAGAAGCTGCTGGAGGAGCGAAATCTGAGTAATTACTGGGCGCCACTGGGTCAAGTCCACAGAGCTGTTGGCATTGAGCTGTTGGCTTCGGGGATGAGAGCATCATGAGAGCTGACAAGGTCCTAGTGGTCCTATATGATACATTGGGTATAGATAAGATGAGACGCATATGTACGCACCTCAAGTTTGCTAAATTGCTTGCTCCCCAATATTTATGAGGGTCTAGAAGGTACAGGATGGCCCAGAAACAAGCACGCATGAATGGACCACATGAATCGGCGTGTGCTTGGACGGATGTGCCACGCATGTGCCACAGCTTCCCGGCTTCGCTGCTCAGGACCAGCTGGGTGTGAGCCTCACCAAGCGCACGCCTGGGATGTTGTCGTTCGGGGCACCGAGATGCGATCGGGGAGTTTCGAAGGACACTGGTGTCGTGATCTGGTGTCTGAAGCGACTGAGGGATGAACTGGTGTATCAACGGTGTATCCAAGTCCTGTAGGGCCGTGGGTTGTTCTGCAACGGGGTTCTCACATGGTTTCAAGCATATTCCATCGATTTCTTTGTTCGAGGACTCCCAGTCGTCGAAATTAACATTTTAAAGGTTGGCCTTGACAATGACGAGCTGCACACTCAAGCCGAGGGAGTTGACGTCCCCCAAAAGCTCTGATTGACTACTTTAAAGTCTGCTAAAAGTGAATGTTTCTTGGGAGCAGCGGTTGCATTTGTTGAAAATAGCCGTGCCTACACTCCAAATAGAAAGAGATGGCTAGAGCCCTTTTTTCAAGGACCCATTTTGTTCACAAAAGGGTTTTGCTAAAGAGTGAGGTGGAGTTGGGGTAGGAGGATTTATTTTGAGGAAGAAGCGTGAAAATGGGGTTGGCCCCCCTAACCAGTGACATGCAATAAAAAGGGGTTGGCACCCTGATTCTATTTTTGGCAGGCTGGTTTATAGAATCAGTAATGTCTTGAGATGTTGTGTATTGTGGCGTGTCTGGGGATGACAATTCTTGCTGTGTCTCAAAATAGACCAGTGGCTGCACCAGGTTGCGAACTGAAAAGCATGGGAAGGATGATTGAGCAGGAGTTTGAATCCTCCAAATCATCCGTAGAAATCAAGACGTTGATGTGAAGTTTCAGCATGAGAGCATGAGCACATGAGTGGAACCCGTCACCACGGCATATCACCTCAAGGTGTACACAGAGCCGATTTCCTTAGGAAAAGCCCGCGGCTGCCTTGTTTCGTTTTTGCCGTTTCGTATCGTTCGCACACGTTACGGTCAGTTGGCACCGGAGCTTGGTGCTTCGCCATGGCTTCGGACGGTTCGATCCCGGCTGGTTGGTCGCCGTCCGAGCTTCGAGAGTTCCTAGAGCTTGATGCGGAGGATCCTGGACCTGAAGGACATGAGTCCGATTCTCCTACAGCTTTTGTTGAGCCCGCTTGGCGTTGCCTTAGGTGTCATTCAGCACGTTGGTCGGAAGTTGGGCACGACTCGTATCGTTGTGGTGCTTGCATGGGTACAGAGTTTTACAATGCAACCCAGCCAGTCAGGCATCAGACAGATGACGGTGTTTGGATGTTCGTTCCCCGAGCCAACAGTGCGCCTGTCGAGGATTCGCTCCCAGTTGATGATTTCCGGAGGAGGTCAGAGGTTCGGTCCCCTGTTGAGGACCCAAGTCCACCAGGCCCCGACTCTGCACGGGAATCACCTGAGAGTGAGCTGCCGACGGATGATCCATCCGTGGGCATGACGGAGTATGAGTGGCCCCCCGACCCCGGCTCCGAGCTGTCCACGAGTTCACGACGCCGAAGGAGAAGAAACCGCACCACTGCGCAAGATTCGAATGCAGAGCAGGTCGGACAGCCCTCACCTTCGAGATTGCCTATGCCCTCGACATTGCCGATCCCTTCACGTGCTGGCAAGGGTGATGGTAAGAGTTCCGAGGAGTCAGAACTGCTGAAGGTGCTTCGCCAGTTGTTGGACGATCGACGCAGTGACAAAGCGTCGCAAGGCAGCTGGGATAGCAGACGCGGTCCGGCCCCTGGCATGAAGTGGAAAGGTGGGACACCTCCGAACCCACCTCGTTGGAACTATGCTGCATCAGACATTCGAGCATTTTCCAAATGGGAACGCCGTGTTCGTGTCTGGCAGTTGCAGGTTCAGAACCAGCTTTCAGGTGCAGAAGCTGGACTCATGCTTTTTGCTAGCTTCACCGGGGAGGCTGAAGCGGAGAGCGAACACATGGTGCTCTCCAAGGTCAACTGTCGCGACGGAGTTGACTATGTGATCAGCTGCCTGAAAGGGCCCCTCGAACAGAAGATTTTGTACCAGAAGCGCTCATTGCTGGCCACCTACGAGACAGTTGCACGGTTGCCCAATGAGTCGATCCGCCAATACATCAACAGGTACAAACGCATTGAGAGGGATCTTCAGTCGGTTGGCATTTCAGCAGGAGCAATGTACGATGCCGAATCAAGAGGCAACAGGATCTTGGAGCGTTGCAAGTTGGAGCCATCCCTTGCTAGGCTTGTGTTGATTGGTGCACATAACAGTTTGGACTTTGATTCAATTTGTGAGAGTTTGCAATTGCAGTTTCCGGTTTTCAAAGCAACTCCAGCATTGTTTCAACAGTCGCAACAACAGCATTGGCGCCAGCAACAGAGCAACAGCAGCTACAGGCCAAGTGGCAAGTGGAATCCATCAAGTGCATCAGCAACTACGGCATCGACCTCATCGTCTTCGACAGTTCCAAGCTCAGCATCCGCCTTCAATCGAGGCGGAAAAGGCGGCAAGAGCTTCCATCCTCGCAAGGTCTATCAGACTGAGACCCTTGAGGAGGGCAATGAAGAGGATGAGCCGGATCAGTCACCTGAGGGTGATGAGGAGTACTTCGAACCTGAGACCTCCGATGAACAGGCTGCAGACCCCTCACCGTCCGCAGAGACGGAACCGGCTGACGAAGATGATTTGGGTAGCTCACTCAGCGAGCTAGCAACGGTCCTTACAGTGACCTCCAACAAGTTGCGCGCAGCTACGTTGGGCAGGAAGTTCACAGGACGCAAGCAAGTCCATTGAAGAGAGGAAAAGAACAAGTTCATGCAGTGCTTGTGGAACGATGGGCCATTGGACAGGAGACCCAGAATGCCCGTTATCGGCTGGAGGAAAAGGTCGCAAAGGAAAAGGAAAGGGTGACCACAAGGGTTCATCGGCAGCCGCTGGAACTACCTCCACCTCGGGTCCCAAGAGAACGTTCATGGTCTCATATGGTGATGAAGCGGTTGAAGATGACAATGCAGCCTACTTCAACTTCCCCACCAACCACGTTCCCGACTCCATGAATGCCCCTTTTGTTTATGTCACTGAAAGCATTGATTTGGCCGGATACATGGTGTTAGATACTGCTTGCCAGCGTTCATGCACCGGGTCCCGTTGGTTGAACACACACCTTCGCATCCTCGAGAACTACGGGTTGTCGTGTCATCGGGCCCATTGCGACGAACAATTTCAGTTCGGTGCAGGTGCATGCCAAACAGCTCACGAGCGCTGCTATCTGCCAGCGGCCTTTGCAAGTCAGGAGACCCAGGGCATTTTGTTGGGAGTGAGCGTTGTTGCAGATGTCAATATTCCTTTCTTGGCAAGTCGTGCGTTGATGCAACAGCTTGGTTGTGTGATCGACATGCACCAGAATGTTTTGTGTTTCAGCAACATTGGCGTGACAGTTCCACTTTTGCATAAGCATGGACATTTGGTTGCAAGCATTGTTGCATTTCCCCCTCGTGCCGCTCAGTTGAACTGTTGGAAAGATTTGGAGTCACAAGTGTTTCTGGACAAGCCACATCCGGAGTGCATTGTTCATGAAGCCCTGACTGCTCAAGATCGTCTTTCCTCGACCTTCACCGCGGTCCATGCCCTCCCAGTCCACCAAGCAACCGCCGTCATGGCTGGCGAACTGGAGGACGTTCCTCTTGAGGCTCCTCATGATCGAGTTCAACGTGCTCAAAGCCATGCGCAAGCTTGTGAAGATCGGTCTACGACCAAGAGCATGGTTGAGCAGCACCGGATTGGCCGACCTCATGGAGAAGCAGCGACGAGAGTTGCACAGGCCAAGAGCACCCGCGAAGACATGCACACACCCGGAGTTCAAGAGATACGGGAATGCTCACGGCCAGTTCTCCCAGTGCAAGCGCTGCGATCAAAAGTTCCGGTGGATCCCAGACCAAGAAGCCTGGGCAGTATATTCACCAAAATCCTCCAGCTCGTCAGCACTGCCGCTGCCATCCTCGGCCACGATCCTGGCACCTACGGACATCGCCAAGCCCAAGAGCAGACCGAGCAAGCACACGGCCTACAAGTCCAAGGCCAGGCCGATGCGACCATCATCGGACGCCATGTCAGTCCAGTCAGCAGGCAGTTCAGCCCTTCCCATCACGTATCGAATGACGGAAGAGGAGATCTTCGCCACAGGACTGACCAAGGAGGAGCTGGACGAGGCAATGTACACGGGCAACCTCCACCTGTACGACTCCGACAATCCGGACGGCTATCCATCGGACATGGAGAGCTGGGATTGGTGACTCCAACAGAGTCAGGCCAGTGTGACTTTTGGGAACGAAGCAAAGGCAAAATCATCAGGCATCACAACCTTCCAAGAGTGTTGCTATTCAATCTCCAAGACTATGATTGCCCAGTCCCAAAGCACACACTTTCGCCAGAGTGCACAACAGAGGTCCATTATGAGGATGGGACATTTGAAACCATCACGTACGACTGGCGGGACCACCATCACACTCAGCTCAAGCAGCCATGGACGGGACACACCACCTTCATGATACAGAACGTTCACAACCAGTCCCGGAGTCTGTTAACGGCCTAAGCACGGAGGGCTCTCCGAAACACTGTCCGCCAGACTCACCATGTTTACAACCTGGAGTTTGCATTGGTGGCCCACACAGCCGATGAACAAACCCTGCAGCAGCAGCAAAAGCATCTTAAAGACAGCAGGCCTAAGGTTGACATCTTGGAGACCTTCGCAGGCCAAGCAGACATCACCAACAGGAGCCCGAGCTTCCGGCTTACAGCAGCACAACCAGTCGACTACAAAACCGGCTGGGACTTGAACAACACCAGACACCAGGCAGACCTCGAGGACATGCTTGACTCCCTCAGACCGCTCGTCCTCATCCAAGGCATCGACTGCCGAGATTGGAGCATACTTCAAGACAACACGAACTACATCCGTCGCAAGATCTTGCTCCTCGCTAAAGCACGTAAGCTCCTCAAGAAGGTCACAAGCTGGTGCCACAAACAAGCAGAAGCTGGAAGACTGTTTCTGCTGGAGAACCCAACGACCAGCAGACTTTGGCAAGAAGAAGCCATCAAGAAGCTTGAAGGCTTACCCAATGTGAGCTCCATAACCTGTCATGCAGGAGCCTATGGTGCAGTGAACTCCCAGGGCCAGATGATCAGAAAAGGACACCGCTTCATGGGCAATTGTCCACATGTGCTGAAGCGCTTGGGACGCCACCTGTCAGCAGAGGAGCAACGAAGATGTGTTCCCCAGCACTATCCACACCAGATGGTGACAGAGATCCCCAAAGGTGTGCAAGATGAGGTCAGAGCACGCTTTCCTGACCGATTCCAGCCAGGACCCAAGGTCTACCGCAGCTACATGGTCACTTCACCAGACCAATGGCATGAGGCACTCCAGATGGCAGAAGCAACATTTCAAGTTACCAGGTACAAGACCTTCATCCTGCCAGCCTCCGATCCATTGTTCGCCCTCACCAGGAGACCTACTCAATGGTCTCACATGGAGCGAGTTCAGATAGCACTACAACCAATCATGTGGCGCTTTCCTTGGCACGTGCCACACACACACACCGAGCTGCAGCCTTGCAGTACAATGATGGAGAGGTTCAGATCATCGAGGAGGACCTCAGTGAGCTCAGACATCCCAAGGCAAGATTCAAGAAGCCCGTCCAACTGGCCATTTTCATGTTTGGACAAGGCCAACCTGATGCAGAACGTCCACGAGACCGGATATCGGCATCACATGAAGCAGCACAACCACCTCCATCGGAGAACGATCTGAGGAAACTGGTTCCACCACCACCTGGAGATGAAATCTCATTTCCATCTGAGCTCAAGATCCCCGCCGAGATAAAGAATGCCATACGGCGGATGCACCAGAACTTGGGCCATCCCAAACCAGCTGAGCTCAAGAAGCTCTTGGCTCTCAATGGAGTCAACAACCAGGCCATCTACACGGCCGTCGAACATCTTCGCTGCAACTCCTGTGAGCGCACCAAAGGACCTTCCAGGCCAGACCTCGGCGCCATTCCAGCTGAGGACGGATGCTCGCAGTTCGGAGACAGGTTGCAGATGGACATATTTTATGTCAGAGATGTGACTGGCCAAAACTTCATGGTGTTGGGCATCATCGACGAAGTGACACACCTTCACCTCGCAGCCCTTCTCGACAACAGACAGCCGGAGACAGTCCTGACAGCCTTCAATGACACCTGGGCTAAGGCCTTCGGATACCCACTCCGGATCAGACTTGATCCTGATGGCTCTTTCAGGTCCCACTTCGAGGACGGCCTTGACCAGGCCGGAGTCTTCATCGACTACGTCCCCGCTGAGGCCCACAACAAGATCGGCCTCATCGAGAGGCACGATGCCGTGTTCCGATCATTGATGGAACGCATCATCGACCACAGAGCCATCACAGGTCGAGAACAGATGTACTACACCACAACAGCAGCAGCCTTCGCCAAGAACAGCTGCACATGGTCCGCAGGCAGACCTCCCTATGTGGCAGCCTTCAGCCGCATACCACGCATGGGCATTGAGTTGCTCAGCGACCCACATGGGCTTGTGACAGGACAAACCAGAGCACAAGCACAACAGATAGCATACTTCCAGAGTCGAAGCACAACAGCAGATTGCCGCCATGTCCATCGACAGCACATTCAGGAGGGCACTCCTACGCAACACAGCAACAAGCAGCACCGACACACCTGAGGTCGGCAGCATTGTGGCATACTGGCGCTGGACAGCACGCAGCGGCAAAAAGCACGGCGGCTACAAGCTCGCCCGGCTTCTGGGACGAGATCCTGACGGGAAGTCAATGTGGCTTCAAGCTGGCACCAACACCGTCAGGGTGGCACCACACCAACTCCGTGTGGCCAGAGGCTTTGAATGCTGGCATCCGGACTACCAGCAGATCAAGGACCTCCGAGCTGCCTCAGCAAACCTGCATGACAACCAGTTGCAGGATGAACGAGTTCCAGAACCACCAGATGATCCAGATCAACCACTTGGCTTTGACGGCATGGATCCAGCAGAAGAGATTCCGCCCTCGGCAGTACCTCTACTAGCACAACCTCCTACAGCGGCAGCTGCAGCAGCACCAGCAGAACAAACAGAGGAAGCAGTGCAGACAGATCCATACCAAGAGACAAGAAACACACAAATAGAGATCAACGTACATTCACCCACTTACAGACAAACGGTCATACAGGCACAAGCACAGCCATCAACACCGTTTGGCATGACAGCGGCACAATGGATGGAGCCTTCAGTCAATGCACCTGTCCGCAAGAAGCACAGATCCAGAACACCAGCACGGATCTGAAGCATCAGCTCCAACACCAGGTCAACAGGCTGAAGTCATCGATATCGACAATTTGCCTGACACGCCACAGCCAGCTGAGCATTTGGAGCACGTGGTCCCGTCCACACCACCGGACCTAGCTCAAGACAACCGGCAGTCCTCTAAGAGGAGCAGTACCGAAATGGCACCGCCACTGTCAGAGCAGGCACCACCAGCACCACTTGGCTACAAGGCGCCCTTGGCCAAGCACACTCAGCCACGGCAGATTGGACAAAACACCTTCCACCTGAAAGGCTACAACCGCATTGCAAAGGCGGCAACACAGGCAGAACCAAGCCTTCTGGTTTGGGCACGGCTCGACACAAACAGCAACAGCCTACAGACCACACACCTCTCGGGACCACCCAAGGGGCACATCAAGCACCGGAGGGTCCTCACATACCCTCAGGGCAGCATCGTGTGGGACGCCCCATACGAAGACGACCAGACAGGCCGTCGCATTTCTCCAGAGTACACCACGCTTGTCACCGAGCTTTGGCATGAACACTATGCACCACATCCACTGGACAGTCTGGAAGTCACACCAGACGGCATCCAACAGCGAGAACATCACCATGATGGCAGCGACCACATCAGCATGCCATACTCGTGCCACACAGCATTGCATGCCTACCGCAAAGCACCAGGCTACAACGGCACCGGCGAGTCAAGTGACTCAGAAGCATCGGCAGACGACATGACCGCCGGGCACCGAGGCAACAGCAGCCTACCAACCACGGCAGCAGCACGCAGCCTCACCAGACAAGAACAGAAAGCCCTCGGCAAGGAAGTGCCTTGGCAGGCCATTAAGTACGTCGAATCTGCCAAAGCAGAAGAGGCATCCTGGCAGCAGTTCGACTCAGTCATTCCTTTGACTGTACAGGAGGCCAACAAGGTGCATCAGGATCCGATTCTCCGTCGAAGGATCCCCAAAGCAAGGGCCGCCTACAGAGACAACGCGAAGGGCCAAGGACCACTCAAGGCGAAGACCCGTGTTGTGGCCTTGGGTCACCTCGACCCGGATCTGCAAGAGATCTGCCGGGAATCAGCGACTGCTAGCCTTCTTCATCAGCGGCTTTAACCACATGCTGCTGGATGGAAAGGATCGCTGGCTTCTTTGGTGCGGGGACATCAAGACGGCATTCCTTCAGGGGACCCCAGACCCTCGCAAGCTGCCACTGTTTTTGCTCCCGCCTCAAGACGGTGTGACAAAGCTGGCCGGCACGTTCAAGGCCCCGCTTTACAAGATTGTTGGAAACATTTACGGCCTCGCATCAGCACCCAGGACATGGAGCCTACATGTTGTCAAGACATTGGTGCAAGCCGGCTTCCGACAACACAGCCTGGACAAAATGTTGTTTACATTGTGCACCAAGCTTCCAGGAGATGACCATACAAGCCTGGTAGCTATAGTTGTGGCCTACGTAGATGATTTTTTACTCACCCACAACGAGCGTTGGGACCGCAGGGCATTGCTGGACTTGTTCAAATCGGGAGCGTGCAGGCCCACATTAGCAGCGGAAGCCAGTGCCTGCGACACTGGGATCGATAGGGCATCGTTCATGGCCCATTTGATCAGTGAGATCTTGCAGGACAAGGCATCCTTCCTCCTCACAAGGACGCTGCGCCTCATCGGCGTGACCGACTGCAGAAGCCTGTACGATGTTCTGGTGAGTGAAAACCCCAGAACGGAGGACAAGTGGTCATCCGTTCGATACAGCAACACCTGAGGCTGGATGTGCATTGATGTGCATTGGGTACCAACCCAGCTGCAATGGGCTGACTCGCTCACCAAGCTCAACGACAAGTTGCTGCTGGAGTTCGTGGCATGGCTTCGAAAGCCATGGATCCAGTTGCGTGACATGCCCGAAAGCACGCGTTCCACTCAACATAAGAATACCAGTGTGAAGTTTCAGCATGAGAGCATGAGCACATGAGTGGAACCCGTCACCACGGCATATCACCTCAAGGTGTACACAGAGCCGATTTCCTTAGGAAAAGCCCGCGGCTGCCTTGTTTCGTTTTTGCCGTTTCGTATCGTTCGCACACGTTACGGTCAGAGTTGAAACAAAACGAGCCATGCCAACATTTTGCTTCAAAGCCTTGGCTACCCTCAAATCATGTTCTAAATCATGGCCTTACCTGATCAAATTTTCTACGTTGGCTACCACTGATCTTTTTTGAGAGCTTATTTTTTTCAACCTTGGCCCGCTTTGGTTCTATTTTGACTTCAGCCTTGGCTACTCTGATTCTATTTTATTTTCAGGGGGTCCAACCCGTCCCTGCAACATAGAACGGCTATATTGAAAGAGCAGTTTGTTGGAGTGATGTTTGGGTACGGAACCCGGAAGAATCAAGGGAACCTGAAACTAGAGTTCTTGACTGACTAGAGAGCATGTGATCCGGGAATGTGGAGGAAGCGAGTACCCTGTTGGCCACGCAATCATTACCCTCACTCCAGCCATAACGGATCCGACGTCAAAGGTCAGCACAAAAGTCCATTCAACACGGTTGCATTGGTGATTCGCCCGCTAGAAAAGTGCGAATGGGAGTAGCCAGGGCAATGGCGATGTGTTCAACACAGTTGGGCACTGGGTGTTTTGTGCCCAGTGCCACTGTTTGCTATTCACCGCCACCCATGTTGCCATGCTGGCTTCTCTTGCAGCACTGAGTGGATTTCATACGTGCCCTGGGTCAGGCTCACATCTCCACTTTTCACCGCCAGGTGTTATGATGGCAAAGCCGTCCCCGACGCGCAGTACGCGTACCATGTGGATAACCCGTACTTGTGGCTTGGCTTTGATCTCCAGACGTCTAACCACGGGCCCGATGTCTTGTGAAACTCTCCAGGGAATGTTGGACTTCTCGGCCCCCATGCCACAGCATGTCCGACCAATCGAGTTGACTGATCGAGTTGATGAAACGATGCATTTTTGTGCATGTGACATCCTGATTTCTGGCCACATGTTCCTGTTTGCATTCAGGACCAATATGTCAGTGCCAGATGACGGCAGGAGCGGCGCCTGCCAATGCACTCTGGAAAACAATGTGTACTTTGCTTTTTGAATGAAAAGCCAGGCAGTGGACTTGATGTCCTGAAATCTGCAAGCTGCCAGGAGGCTGACGTTGATCTACTACGTGGCTGATGGCCCCTGGGATGTTCACAAGGTGCATCGAGTTGGTCCCGCGCACACACTCACCTGGTAACAAGTTGTGTGGATCAGGCACATCTTCACTTTCTATAAGTGAAACGGATACTGCAAAACAATTTCAAACATGATCACAAAAGCATGAAAACCATTGGCTGCTGGCGGCTGCTAGCCGTAAGGCCTTTTTAAACCCCCGGTTCTGAGGGCGGCACTTGTGAACAAAAAGCTGCCAAGACTAGGGTGGGCAGCACGGCCTAGTGCGGAGGATGTTCGGATGTTTGCGGTGTTGATCTGAGGGGTGACATTTTAGGATTCTTTAGGACATGGCCCTGGACCATGGGTTGCCACCAAAGGAAACCAGCAAAGGATGTGCCCAACCCTGCTTGCATATTATGAAGGAAGCTGCTTAAGATGCCATATCGCAGACATTCCCTGCATGGAACATAGATTAATAAAGCTAATTGCTCAATTATCTTAATATCTCATCATGCACCTGGAAGGTCAAATGACCGTTCTTGGCCGCGGCCTGGCGACCATTCGGTCGTGACGGCTCGACGGGTTTCTCTCGTCGGTTGAGCATCGGTGTTGATTGCTTCGCCCTCCGCTTCAGCGTGAAGCCCTGAGCAAAACTCAAGGGATCAACTCCCTAACTTATTTTGTACTATTTGTTCACCAGCTGGCTTTCATCAGAATGACTTGATCCACGCCGCTAGTCGTCGACGCCGGTTTGGAACTGACCAAACTTTCTGGTCGCTACCAGGTATACGCAAAACACGCCTTCATTTGACTAAATACTTTGGTCGTGACCAGTTTACGCCATAATGAGCATTTTTTTGAGGGTTTGGGACTACGTACGATATATATATATATATATATATGAAATTGCAGTGTCCCCTGTCGAGCATTCGTTCACGCGTTCAGATCCTGCAGGCAACTCGGTCCGAGGTCGGAAAAGGTCCGAGCGGCCGCGTGGTTGACCTAGGAAGGTCACGGGCTTCCCAGCCCTGGGTTTTGTAATTGGTAGCGGAGCCCCGCCACAGGGCGGGGCATCCGGGGGTTCCTTTAGCGTAACCTAGGTAGGTTGTGACGCGAAGCAGTGTCCCTGTTTTCCCTTTTAGGTTTTGTTTAGCAGCCATGGCCAATGAGGGTGCTCAATTTGGGAACACCCGACGGTTCTCAGGAGAGTCGTTGGATCCCAAGGAATACCGGCGATGGAAGCTCTGGGCCGAAGCGAAGATGGCATCCACCAAGGACATGACCGCAGGCCAGCGAGGCCCTTTTGTTTTGTGCCTGTTGGACGGCGTCGCTTTCGAAACGTGCGAGCACCTGTCACTGGACAAACTGAAGGAAGAAAATGGTGATAAATATGTTTGGGCAGCTCTGGATGAACGGTTTCCGGACAAGCTCAAGCACGACTGGCTTGCCGAGTGTTTGAAGGAGATCTTCCAACTTCAAGCCCACGATCAAGAAACAATGGCTGCATGGACCAGCAGGGTCCAAGAAGCCTTCTCCAAGTGCCGCCGGAAGGTGGCAATCGAGTTTCCAAGTGAAGCCAAAGGATGGATCTGCTTGAATGCATCAGGCCTCAGTGAAGATCAGAGGGCCATCAGGCCTCAGTGAAGATCAGGATGTACTTCCCGGCTCAAGAGTGCCTCTGCTTTCGTGGTTCAGGACGAGCCCAATGACATGTCAGAAGAGCTGGGAGATGCAGAAGCACCGGATGCGGTGACTTTCGATGAGCTGGAGGCCTTCCTGGCCGAGCATGGCGTTCAAGAAGCAGGGACATCTTCGGCCGATCACTTTGAAGAAGAGGAAGTGCCCGAGGTTTTGGCTGCCACATGGAAGGAGAGGAGGACCGAGATCTCTCGCCTTCAGAAGGCAAGACGCTTCAGTCAGGCGTCGGAGGCGAAACAGCGATTCAGCAAGGAGGTCAAAGACCTGGAGAAACGATCAAGGCGCCGAAGATGCCACCAGATTGGTCATTGGGCACGAAATTGCACTGCCAAGGTGACCGCAATTACACCTGGTGGAAAGAGCTCTGAACATGATGGAGCTGCAATGGTGACCGACTCGGTGACACAGGCTCAGACACATGCAGAGGTGTTCCTGGTTTCATCGCCAGGTTACGGCATTCTGGACTCTGGATGCAGTCGTACCCTGATTGGTCAAGAGACCCTGAACCAGTTCATGCGCCTCTACCAAGCCCGAGGACTACTGGTACCAGCAGCAAAGCATCAACGCAACCTGTTCAAGTTTGGCAACGGCCATGAGGAGCTGTCGGAGCGTGTTGTTTCCATGCCCGTATGCATTCACGGCAAGATGGGTCGAGTAGAAGCTGCCATCATCAAGGGGTCTGCACCTCTTCTTCTGAGTCGAAACGCCCTCAAGAGCCTCAAGGCTGTGCAGGGGAGGTCGATTTGAAGACTTCTCTTCCTACCTGGAGGCAATTGATTTTGAGAAGACATCAAGTCATTCCTCCAAGCCTGATGAAACTTTCCCAGGCAGCTCCGTTCGTCACACTTTGAAGCCTTGAGCTAGTGGTATAGCAATGAATGCCAGGACACACCTCCTCTAGGCTGGATGCCAGGTTCGCAATATGGATTCAGCTTGAAATGAAACAAATGTTCTAGAAGATAGATATAAAGAGGAGTGAAATTGCAGTGTCCCCTGTCGAGCATTCGTTCACGCGTTCAGATCCTGCAGGCAACCCGGTGCGAGGTCGGAAAAGGTCCGAGCGGCCGCGTGGTTGACCTAGGAAGGTCACGGGCTTCCCAGCCCTGGGTTTTGTAATATATATATATATTTATTTATGTTGCATACCTATTGTAGTTAGTTCAAGTTCTATAATTATGCCTTCATTGACCACTGAAACCGCGCCAAATCTGCAAATGTAGGCCAATCTGAAAAATATGCAAAGACATATGCAATGCAT